TGATGTTAGGATTATTGATAACATTGTGTCTATGGAAGGTAAGAAAGAATATCAACATAAAGTAAATGTAAACATGTTGCTTTTGGTTATACATGTTGTTAGTTTATCTTGATAGTTTAGTCTCCCTTCATGTCTCACCCACTCTCCTTCTCCTTTTCTGTAGGTATTCCTTCATCTCCAGTGATTACTGGTAATGTAACATCTCCTGGTGTACTAGTATTAAGAGTGCGTACAATGTATCCTGGTGATACTAATATTAAGTTTATTGTTAATACTACTAACACATCTGATGAATCTATAAATTCTACTACACATCAGTTCAATGGTTATGAGGCTAATAGTATTGTTGATATTAGTATTAGTATACCTAATGGTGGGTCAGTATCAGTCAGTATAGTAACCATCAATCAATATGGTTCTTCAGATGTTCTTAATCATCCTCAAATCTTTACTATTGATCCAAGTGAGTGTGATTAATATTATTTTGTTCCGTTGTTGTTATTTTTGTGCTTATTTGTAGTAGCAATAATATTATTGTTTATTTTTGATGATTGTTTTATATTCTTCTTCTCTATACATCATCAACAACCATTCCTTTACATTACAATGCAATCCAATACAACCATTCCTATCCATTCCATACCATTACACTACATTACACTATACATGTACAAACAGTATCCACTACTACCACTACTGCATCATCCACATCAACTGCAGGTTCATCTACTCCATCAGTAAGCCCTACTGCTAGTATGACTGCTACTATGTCAGAGGCTATGTCTAGTACTCCTTTACCTACTGGTACTACTACACCAGCAACTGTTGATAGAAGTGGTAAGGAACTTTCTCTCTTCCTTCCACACTCTTATTTACCCTCCCCCCTCTCTCTCCTCTATAGGTTTGTCTGCTGGTGCTATTGCTGGCATCATTATTGCTGTTATCATTCTATTGGCTGTTGTTGTGCTAATTGGTCTAATTGTGTTCTATGTCTATTATAAGAACAGAGGTATGTGCTAATGTGTTCTTTTATGGTCCTTGGGAATTATACACATCATTAACTACTTTGTGGGATGATTGTATTAGTCCATAACTGTATCCTCCTCTCCTTCTCTCTCCCTCTCCCTCTCCCTCCCTCTCTCTCTTCCTTTTTTCTTTTTGTCTTGTTTGCCCTTTGCTTGCTCATGTTTCGATTCACCTTTATCAGCAAATGAATAATAGTCTTCTCAACCCACAGCCCATAATTATTATTAAAAAAACACAATGATGACAATACTATGTTTCCACTTAACCAGTCAGTATAATGCTCTGTTGGGTTTGTTGGACATTATCTGAGTCAGTTTTTATTAATGATTATTTAAACTTTCAAAGTGGCCAGTAACTATCCACAAAGTGCTCTCAGCTGTAAAATATAAGATAAGAGACCGACCACATTCTGTTTGTGTTATTTCTGATACATAAGTGTCAAGGGGCGGTACTTGTAGAGGATGTGTAGTACACATGTTCAAGATTGTGTGTGTTATCTGTTTGGACTAGTGTCTCATTATAGTAGTTATCAATCTTGTTTTGTTATACGTAAACAAACCATGTTCAGGGCATGCATGCAGCAAGGGGTCTGGGACATACAGGGGTCTGGGGAGTTTTGGGAGGAATAGGGGGTCTGGAACAGTTTGTCCAAATATGGGTGGGGGAGGTATTGGATTACATTCCTTCATAATTTACTTTGTGAACTTGTTGGCAAAGCTTTGCAATCCAATCTTTAAACATCATACCATCCAGTAATAGAGTCAGTACTGTTATCATAATCACTGATAGTGATGCCTAGTCCTTTATGGTGGTCTGTAAACTGTATAGATGGATCATGTTACATTAGTGAAGAGAGAGAGAGTGAGAGGTTATTGATAGTGGGTGTGTGTGTATATGTATTCCCAATGTGGGTAGTGCTCTGTATATTTGATATTGTTACAAGTAACTTGAGCAATCCTTCACAACATCTTATACCCACACCTACTCTCTATAGAGTGTCAGTTGAGATTACTGTGTTTAGACAGTGTTTTTGACCTGGCACCACTTGTAGGCTGGTTTTTAAATTCCTGGCAGTCTTTGTGGGAGTAAGAGGAGGTCTTTTGCTAGTTTATGATTATTGTAAGGTGTATGGATCTAATGGCATAGCTATTATTGAGCAACAGTTGGCTACTATAGTTAATAGTAATGTGTGTACTATTGGACACTTTGATACTAGTGCTAAGAGTGATAGCCTGGCTGTAGTAATATAAAAGAAAGAGGGAGGGAGAGAGAGAGAGAAAGAGAGAGAGAGAGAGAGAGAAGGTGATAGTAACTGAGTGAGTAGTCTTACTTATTACATCACATATTTTAAATTATAGTGATAGATTTGACAGTGTAGGAGTGACCATGTTACAATAGCAACAATCACAATCCACTCACATACCACACAAGGTCTGACTCTTCTTCCAATAACTGTCTCTTTCCAATAACCGTCTCTTACAATTACACACAATGTCTTTACTATCAACAGCATTTCTAAGCTACAACTCTGCAAATATTTGAATTTTGTTATAATTAAAGTTTGTTGCTTACAAGTATAATAATATAAACATTTAATTAGCTCTGACTCTTCATGTTTGGATTCCGACAACACTATTAGTAAATGTTATTATACTATTAGTTGTGGTTTTCCTAATTCAGTTACCTATCTCCTTTTTTAAAAGGGTTTCCTGTACTAACTGTATAACACCACTACCTATATCTAATCTATGTATACATATAAGCCATGACGATACTGTTTGTGAACTATAGAATAATGACTAGTGTTGAATTATGGACTTATTATCAAGATGAGTGAGTTGACACATTCTATGCCTCTTTACTCTACACTGGCCTAATAAGGACTCACTGATTAGTCTAATCCATAAATATTAATGATCCTGATCACTCTGATCACACACAGACATATATGTACAAGCAGCCTTGTACATGTACATACTCTTGTACATATACAGTACATGTACATACCCAGAATGATGTTAGTAGGAAATAAGGTCAGCTAGTATGATGTGAAGTGATTGTTATGGACATTTAGCTTGTAAAAGCTGTTTGATGTATCACTGGCACTCCTCCCTCTCCCCCTCTCTCTCTTTCTCTCCCCTCTCTCTCCCTCTCTCTCTCTCCCTCCCTCTCTCTCCCCCTCTCCCTCTCTTTCTCTCTAATTGAGATGTTTTGAATATATTGCCTAATTACTGTTTATTATTATAAATTGCAATGTTATTCAAAATATGAGTCCCACACATAAAGAACATAACACTTCTGTTTAGTGTGTTAGTGTATCATTTCAAATGTCATCTATCCTGTGTACCTTTCTATGCCATGTTTCGTGTTGCCCGCATACACTAGCAATAGATTCACTTTCACTGTATCAGAATAGGGAAAACAAGTCTCTATGTCCAGTATACAATACACATTAAAATTGAAAGAGACTGTTTGTTAATGGATGTTGTTATTCTCTTCTTCCTTCTTCTCTCCTAGCTGTCACTTTTCCATTGAATCATTCGTGTATTCTTTTTCTATAACTGTATGTAACTAACTTGCTTTAGATCAAATTCCCTACCTGTCAAGCTTTGAGACGATTTCCTCTTTAAACTGTAAACAGTTGATTTACTTTAAAGGTGTTTCATACACTGTTTCTTAGCTGTACAAGCATGCATGTACATATACATGTACATGTAGCTAGTGTAACATTTTTGGTGTGTGTGTTTCAATTCCTGTGACTGTACATTGCCAAATATTGCAATGATTCATCAAAGATGATTCACAATCTGGTATTTTATCTTTTCTTCCTTGTTTTTTCTACAGGTGGATCTTATCAAGTGGATAGGCCTGGGAAAAAGTAAGCAAGAGAGAGAGGGAGAGAGAGGGGAAGAAAGAGAGAAAGAGAGATTAAAGGAGGTGGTATTTTTTGTTTTGATACATCTACACTGACAAAGCACTGCTATATCAGCATGTTATCATTATAATTGTGTACACACACTCACACACACTCACATATGCACAGTCAACAACCGATTCACTGTGAGTCAGTTCACACACAAGAATCACCTATAGAACCTTAACACAGTTTCATTAAGCATTCAATACATTGCTTAATGGAGGTACATTAAACCCATTATGTATGTATGTAGTATGCATGTATGTAGGTATGTATGTATGTAGGTATGTATGTAAGTGTGTGTGTGTGTGTGTTTTTCATTTGATAGTAATTTATTATTTATTCTAAAAGTTCCCTTCAGTTTTTGTGTTGACAATAGAGGAAGAAGTGGGTGGGACGGTTAATGATTTTTAAATATCTAATTATGATGATGATTATTATTATTAATATTATTAATATTAGGGGTGGAGTCACAGTTGAGGAGCTAGACATTGACATTGGAACTGAATTGCAAGACAAATCCACCGAACTACCAAAACCGTCTGAATCAAAAGTAAGAAATAAAAAATAATATTTTATAATGATTCCACTTATCTCTTTGATGCAGCCTCCCGAGTTGCATTATGCTGATTTAGCAGACTTTTCAAGGAAGCCTCCAGCTGCAGCTGCTGATAAACCTGAAGGATCCGTCACTAAACCAACACCAATTGAAGAAGTAAATATTATAAACTATTATTATTATTATTATTATTAATTATTTCTTGTCTTCTAAAGGTACAATATGCTCAAATAAAGCCTCAAGCGAAGCCTAAGGACGATGCTCCTAATCCTGCTTCTGATATTTTATAAAAGCACACACAAGACAGTCTCCTCCCTCTCCCCCTCTCTCTCTCTCTCTCAATACTGTGTGTGGTGTGCAATAGCAATATTATTGATCATAATAGGTGTTGGTTATTTTATTTAATTTTTATTATTTTTTGCCGATATTTTTTTACCATAATTATATGCAGAACCATCATCTCATTCATTATTATTTTTTAGTAATTTTTAAAAATGTCTTTTGTAGTTTCGTGAGGTGATTTGTTTTTAGCTGCAATTTTTGCTATTTTATTTAATTCTTTTTTTAAGTCTTTTTTAATTTTCTTATTTTTTCAGCTGATTTTGTTTCATTACGACTTTTACAATAAATAATTATTATGGTAACTGATTCATTAGTAAATGTCAGAATAAGCGCCAAAAAGCAACCTCAATTTTTACCTTAAAACTTCAAGAATTAAAAAAATTAATCTATATTATTTTCAAGAATTATTATTTTTTGATTACAAGCTCCTTGTTCTCACCTCGTTAACAGTACAAGGTGTTGACAAGGTGTTACAAGCTCACGTGTTTACAAGATGCTGCAAAGTGAAAGAGCAACTTTGATATCCTGTTTACATGAAGAATTATTATGCAATATTTTTAATTATTTAAATAAAGAATCATTTAAATCAACTAAATTTACAAAAATTAAATGAACATGAATGAATATAAATGAGACTAAAATACAAAACGGACAAATAAATAGATCGAGAGTGACTAATGATTGTTGATAAGTAGAGAGAGGGAGAGAGAGGGGGGAGAGAAAGAGAGAATGATAGAGTCTGATTAATGATAAAGTCTGATTAAACCAAGAAGTGATTACACATCAGTTGCATAATTATGAATGCTGGGAAAAATATCGGCATCGAAAACCTTCTTATTGATCTGAAAAAAAAGAAAAAATAAAGTTAAATTAAAAAAAAATAAACATTATTTTCTCACAATTTAAAATTAAAAGTTTATTCACTAACCATTGGAGCAGAAGAGAAGAATGGTCTATTGATGTTCGGTGGAGAATTAAAGAATGGCTTCTCAGAAGTAACACTATTCCCTCCTCCTCCGATCTCAGCGTAAGTGTGATTCACTTTCTCAGCTGAGCCACCATAAGCGCTATCAGCAGTTTCATGAGGAGGAGAGAAAGGGGAAAGGAGCATGTTGTTAGGTGGGTCGTTCCCTCCCCCTGGGGCTTTACGAGATTGTAACGTGAAGTGACTTGAGGCGTTAGATGAAACTGATTGTGTTCGGTGATGAGTTAGGACTAGCGGTTCTTCTCTTAGTCCTAGGGAAGACTGAGGAGGAGAGTCGGCTTCAGAACCAATTGGCTGAGAGTCTTTATCACAGACCGATGAGGAAGGAAACCTAGTAATAGTAATAATAATAATAATAATAATAATAAAATTAATAATAACAATAGTATTTACTATAGTAATAAACATTATCAAAATTATAAAAATGAAAAATTTCCTCAAAGCCATTTTTTGATAAATACCCTGTACTATAGCCCATGGGCCCAATTTTTAAGAAACTTTAAAAATTCATAAAAAATCTAAATGTGATCGGAATCAATTCAAACTTGAAAAACAACATAAGAACATGTATATGTATCAGGAAAAATTATAAAAATTGAAAAATCTTTCCTAGCCAATTTTGGTAAAATTTGGCCCACGACCCTGTACTATAGTACAGGGACTTTGGCTCGATTTTGGAGCAACTTTAAAAATACATAAAAAAATTAAATATGACTGGAATCAATTCAAACTTGAAAAACAACTTTAAAACATGAATATTTATTAGGAAGAATTATAAAAATTAAAAAATCTCTCCTAGTCATTTTTGGTAAATTCGGTCTGCGACTCTGTACTATAGTACAGGGACTTTGGCTCAATTTTGGAGCAACTTTAAAAATTTGTAAAAAATTCAAATATGATCAAAATTAATTTAAACTTGAAAAACAACTTAAAAACATGTATATGTATCAGGAAAAATTATAAACATTGAAAAATCTCTCCTTGCCAATTTTGGTAAAATTTGGCCAACGACCCTGCTACTATAGTACAGGGACTTTGGCTCGATTTTAGAGCAACTTTAAAAATTCGTAAAAAAATCTAAATATGACTGGAATCAATTTAAACTTGAAAAACAACTTTAAAACGTGAGCATGTATCAGAAAAAATTATAAAAATTTAAAAAAATTCTCGCAGTCATTTTGGTAAAATTTGGCCAAGTATAACCCAATGGTCGTTGCCCAAATTTCTTGGCAACTAAAAATCCAACCCAAACATTTCACGAAACTTGAGAGCATGTAAATATGTTCAAGAACATGCATTCTACCATTCCATAGTGACCTCAATAAACATTCGAAGTCACAAAGATTATTATTATTATTATTATTGTCATCTCCTGTAGCTACACTGTACATGTACATAGGAATGAAGCAGTGGTTGAGTAACTGTGAACAAGAGCATGACTGTACATGTACTAGCTGTACAGAAAGGAGTTACTCCCCGTTGTTTACTAGTGGACATGGTACAAAGGTAAGGTTGAAAGAGATGAAAGAACAAGAAGTAAAGGAGTGACTTACATGTGGCTAGTGTACATGTTCCGCCGACTGAATCTTGTGATTGCTGAAATAAGAAAACAAAAGAGAAAATAATTTAAAAATAATAATAATAATAAATAATAATAATAATAATAATAATAATAGTAATAGTACCGGTAATAATAAAATAATAAAAATAAAAATAATAATAGTAATAAAATGACTTACTGTGCTTAGTATGTTGTCTTCTTTTAATAACACACAAACAAACCATCGACACAATCAGCAGCAACAACACCAAAACAAATATACTTGAAATTGGTACAATTATATAATACAATAACATTGAATCTGTGCCTATAAAATAATAAAATAATTAAAACATCATTAAAAACATTATAAGCATTATATACTTACCAGTAGTCACAGTGCTTGTGTAATTACTGAATTCTCCTCTTCCAATCTGGGTCTCTGCTGCAATAGAAAATGAATAGCTTCGTCCTTTACTTAGCGACGTAACCAAAATGGTGATGTTCTCCCCCGGCAACGGTTGCCTAGTAACGGGAACCCTCACGGTAACCAGTTCGGACTCAGTGCTTGACACATTAACAATATAATTATTAATAATTTCAGAACCAATTGAGGGGAACGAAAACTGCAACGTAACGTCAGTCATACCAACATCAGCTACTGAGGGTGTAGTTGGCTGGCTTGGAGGACCCCTAGCGGTTGTTATGGTAACAGACTCGGAGCTCTGACCAATCAGATTAGCGATAGAAGATGTGATATCATAAACACTCAGTGGCTCAAGATCAGCCATTATAAAAGAACCAGTATCAAGTTGAGGAGATAAAGTGACCAGGTCATTGATTGTAACAGTGAATGAGGTGATAGGTGAGCCGCCATTATAGAGCAACGACCACCTCAGTAGTATAGACCTACCACCTGCTAGTGCAGTGACATTGAAATATGCTAACAATGGAACTAAAGAGGGGAGAGAGAGAGGAGAATTTGATATTATATTTTCCTAACATTATAATTATTTTCTTACCAGTTTTATTTGTGCTGAATGTTATTAGTTCCGATGCTTTGCTAACACCTGCAGTGTTAACAGCAAACACTTCCACAGAATAATAACCTCCTGGGCTCAATCCATTGACTGTTGCTGTGGTAAGTTCACCAGATACATTTAACACCTACAGAATAAAACAAGAATAATGATTATTAGTTATTTTTGTGTTCTTACTTGAGTTCCGTTTATTTTAATAACGAACCAATCAGGTTTAACGAGTATTGATGTAGGTGTGTGTAACCATGACAACGAGACTGAGAATGGAGTAACATTGCTTAAGGCAACATTTTTTGGAGAAGGAGGAGTCCCTGGGGAATAAAAAAGATAAATATAAAATAAATATTAAAACAACAACAATAACAACAATAAATAAAAATAAGAATGCATTATGGTATCATTATTTACAATCATTGATCTATAAAGGTCAATAATTAATGATAATTAATGATAATTAATATTAATTACTATTAACATAAATCCCTTACCAATTACAGAGACATTATATGATAAAGTGATCCCTCCATGTTCATTAGTGACACTACACTTGTACACTCCAGAATCACTGACGCTAGCTGATGTTATCCTTAGCGTATCATAAAAGAGGATGACCCTATCATTATTATCAGCTAATAACTGAGATCCATTATACCACTGTACAGTAGCCGAGGGGACACTGGTGAACCGACAGAATAGGCCAATGGTCTCATTTTCTATTAGTCTAATGGCTACTGAAGAAGTCATTGAACTTTGCGGTGGACCTGATGGAAAGGAAGAGAAACATTAGTGATGGCTAACTGAACACAAGATATATGATGTGTATAATTATTGATTAACTGTATACATTACTGCTACAGATTTTGGCAATAATAAAACAATTATTATCAAATATAAATAATAACTAAACAATCAACAAACAATTAGCAGCACTCATTATGAAGCAGTTAGTCCTTATACTAACATCAAAGGAAGAATGCAGCTAAAAGTGTGTGTGTGTGCAGTGAATAAAAATCAGTTTACATTTAACTTTAACAACTTAATAGTAGAACTAGCTATAGCTCATAGCTTCTTCTGGCAGGGCAAGGATCGTGACATCAGAGGGTCACTGTGTAGGAGAGGGACTGTCTGTCATGCCTCATTAAAAACCAGGTATTAATAATTAAATAATAACAGAATGATAACAACTTGAACTTTCATGATTTAAGGCAACTTTACAGCCTCCATTTAACACTTAATGTCAAATATCATGAAAGAGTCACGTAGATATACATTTTATCTATAGTTTGAAGACATACCAGCGTAACCATTAGTACTACAATAGTACTGAATACTCAGGCTTTTACTCACTACTCATTACAATGTAGTAAGTGATTAACAAACAATTCAATTATCAAATAACTTATCAATAAGTGTCTCCAGAGAAACAAACTTACTACTAGGAGTAACAAACACATGCTTATATGTACATGTACAGGGGAATGGTTCCCAGTGAGTACACTCTGTGTGACTAGTTGTATATGAAATGTTGTGTGTGTGTAACC